AAGGCCGCGAGAGAGGAGAGAGCAAGAAAGCCCCCCTTGAGTGGGGTTTTGGGTGAACCCTAAATCCTAATTGAGAATAGTTTGGGTGGTTGGGGTGGGACTACATGCTGACGCAAGCGAGTGATTAGTGGGTGCGCCCCTATTCCGAAAGTGAAAAGCGCACCCACCGCGCGCACATTGTCTACACACCCTAAACCCTAAACCCTAAACACTACGCCCTAAACCTTAAACCCTAAACCCTAAACCCTAAACCCTCAACCTTAAACCCTAGACCCTAAACCCTAAACCCTAAACCCTAAACCCTAAACCCTAAACCGAGTGAGTCGGGGAGGGCGCCTCTACTTCAGCGCCCTGGGCCCACCGGAGCTTCTCAGCCGGGGCCCCGGTGGAGAGCCCCCTTAAAAGGGACCCCATCCCTTTCAGGGTTTAGGGTTTAAGGTTGAAGGTTGAGGGTTTAGGGTTTAACTTTGGGGTTTGGGGTTTCGGGTTTAGGGTTTTGGATTTAGGCTTGATGGTTTAGGGTTGAGGGTTGAAGGTTTTGGGTTTGGGGTTGAGGGTTTAGGGTTGAGGGTTTAGGGTTTAGGGTTTAGGGTTTAGAGGACCCCAGTCTAGAACCCTGGAAGAACCCTTAACGGGGGCCCGAACAGAGAACCCTAAAGAACCCAGAAAGGGGGCCGCATTCTATAGCACCCAAAAAGGGGACCTGCCATCCCATAGTACCCTTAAGAGGGTCCCCTTGAAGGGCTCCATTGGGATCCCCAGTATAAGCCTTATAGTTTAGGCCTGGATGGAGGTTGACAAGAGGCGACTTACTGATTACTGGTAAAGCAATATGCCCTTGTAGTCCCAATAAAAAACTGATTACGTACACACCAAAACCTTGTCTTTTTGGTATGAACCTTAAATTGGGCTTAGAATTTCTTGGCTACTCGGCTAGTGGATATCTATTGTCTATTGATGTGGGTTTCGGGAATGCTTGCGGGTCGAGGCTTTACCTGGACCCTCCAACGGCGTTCTTTCCGAGTAGCATAGTAGCTACCCTAAGCCCTAAGCGCTAAACCCTAAACAGAACTGCAGGGCAGGTCCAGATAGGAGCGATGATTCAGAGTTGCAGGGGTTGGATGGGTGTACCCTTTTAGGGCTTGGGGTTGTGGTCGAGCAGGTTGAAAGCCTTTATGGTTTCGGTGTAGGCTGAAGTCATGCTATGGCGGATGCTCATCCTAGACCCTTTCCCCTAAGTTCAACAAGCTCCCGGCCAAGATCCGAGCTTCGATTATTCGGTGGAGCCCTGGTCTTTTTCGGCGCCTTGCCAATATACCACGAACCAGGAAAGCGCCTCAAACTATCCCTACACCCTAAACCTGAGCCCCAACCCCTTTCCCCAAACCTTACAAAAAAAGGCAACCTGAACCTTAACCCCAAAATCCCGAAGCCTAACCCCCATACCGTAAAGCCTCAACCCTAAACCTTGAACCCTGAATCCTAAACCGGCTACATCAAGGTGCCGCCAGATCCGTCGAGATGATAGCTGCTGGATCCTCCGGTCCAGGGATGGGGTTTTCGGGGTTTCAGGATTCCCAGACGGTCCATATACTCTTTAGTTATGTCCCAAAAGTCCATCCCTACTATGGTTTTGGGGACCTAATCCCACAATAGGAGTCTATCTGCGCCCCCTTGGATTTAGAGTTTAGGGTCCAGGATCTTTGGCCTGGGGTGTAAAGTGTAGGGCTCACTTCTGCTCATGGGGCCTAACCCTAAACCCTAAACCCTAAGCCCTAAGCCCCGAAACACGCGTTTGGCCTTTGAGGCTAGGCCTACGTCAGTGTAATGTAGGGCTTCTTTCATCTCCACGACTCCCTAGAGCTGGTTGAGGGCTTCGGGTTTAGGGTTTGGGGTTCAAGGTTTAGGCTTTAGGGTATTAGGGTTTAGGGTTGAAGGTTTGGGGTATTTAGGGTTCAGGGTTTAGGTTGTAAGCTTCAGGGTATTAGGGTTTAGGGTATTAATATTAGGGCTACTAGGGTTCAGAATTTAGGTTTAGTGCATTCGGGCATCAGGGTTTAGGGTCTTAGGATTGCAACCCAAATCATCCAACCACAGCTGAGCTCGAGGCCCCTCTCACTGGTTTCTGGTTTCACGTGTTGGGGCGAGGCCATAGACATCGAGACGGTATCAATGGCATCGGGGGGGGGGGGGGGGGGG